AGGTTGCCCAGAGAGGTGGTGGATGCCCCATCCCTGGAAACATTCCAGGTCAGGCTGGACGGGGCTCTGAGCAACCTGATCTAGTTGAAGATGTCCCTGCCCACGGCAGGGGGACTGGACTAGATGACCTTTAGAGGTCCCTTCCCACCCAAACCATTCTATGGGTACTGTTAAAAAGTTTAAAGCTGTGCACATCCTTGCCTTATGCAGAATGGTGAAACTGAGAAAGAGGATTTTGCCTCTGTTAGTCTGAACATGGTGCTGGCATGTTTTTGTGAGAGGGCAATTAGCTGGGATGCAAATAACAAGGCTCTACCTGCTAACTTCAGGGAAGCAGTTTCCCACATAACCCTGTCAGATTTTAAAATGAGGGCACTGGGTTCTCTTCTACTCTGTAGGCAGAGCCAATTACTACTCAAGATTTTGGCTGTTTCCTCCTCCCTTGCCCACACGCTGCCAGCCAGGCTCACGTCCACCCAGCAGCCGGAGGGAAGGTGTCGTATTCGGACAAGTCCTCATCGTGAAGCCCAGCAAGTTCAACCCCTCAGCTCTGTCCCTCCTCTGGCACAGCCACCTGCCTCTGGGAAGGCCCAGACTAAGAGGCCTTATCAACGAGCACCAGAAGTCACGGCAGAGGAGCTGACAGATTTCACCACTCTGATGCTTCACATCCAAACAGGAACAGGCAGCCTTACCAGAAGCATAAAAGTCAGGGTCGAAGTATGCCATGAGGAAGAAGTTGAAGACAAGCAGCAGGAAGCCAGAAAACGTTATCAAATTTGGGGCCAGCCAGGTAGGGAAGATCTATGGGAAAGCAGCAAAAGAACACATGAACTCATTAAAACATGTAATAAGGACCACGCGCTGCTCCCAGCCATGGCAGAGACCTGGTTACAATCCTCTGGGTGTTAGACCACACCGCTTAGTCGCATCTGGCATTTCACAGGGCAGCAGGAAGCTTTAGGCTGCAATGCAGTGAGCTGGGGGCAGGCTGGAAGGCAGCACCCTTTGTAATTAGTTGCACCACAAACGAAGCAGGGCTTTTCAGCTGAGAGTTTTACAGAGAAGACTTTGTGGTGACTGGAGTTTTGCTATCACACTAGGACAGGACAAGGTCTCACCTTCACTATCGTGTTCCAGAAGGGATGCATGACATACAGGGACAGGGGGTTGCTGTCCACGGCACTGTACTGTGAACGACAAGGGGAAAAACAAAAAGCAATAGTTAGGGCTCCACCAACACTTGCAAAAAGCCAGAGATCCTGAATATTGAGTTTTCCGTGAGGACGCCAGCTACCCAAGTCTTGGCATTGCAAGAACGCTTGGGTCAAGGATGGAGTCTCACCAGGGATGGTGCTAAACAACCCGAAAAGCACCCACCAGCTCCAGCGACACTGCCCACAGACCCAGAGAGGCAGCTCTCAGCTGCACATCTCATGCCTGCGCCCAATGCCTCCCCTCCGCAGGGAGCAGCCCCACGAGAAGAGTGCGTAGCATGCCCACCACAACGGTTTTTGGAAGGTGGGAAGAGACCCAAGGACACGCAACCTCCTTTGCAGCCAACGCTCCCGCCAGAGCCCCACACCCCGATGGCCACACGGCAGGCCTGGTGGCACTCTTCACAAGCCAGAGAAGAAGCGACAGTCCCATGGCCCCAAGCACCCACACTGTGGGACCGACCCACCGAGGACAGCTTAGTGTGCTCTTGCTTGAGCAACTCTGTCGAGTCCTGCCCCACAAGATGAGCAGGACCAGGGACCTTCTTGGCTCAGCACCCAAAGGTGCCATGCAGAAGGACAGCGGGAGAATTCCCCACCAACCATGAGAGCTGGGGCCACTCCTGCAGCACCACTGGTCTCCAGGCTCCTTAGCTCTCACACCCCAGCACCCCTTTTGCCAAAGGCTCCAGGAGGACAGCTATGAGCCCCCTTGGTGGGGTTCCCAAAACGGGAGACTGTTCTCTGACGGACAGGACACTAACGGGGAGCTTCCAGGGACACATTTCTGTGCTGACAGCTCTGAGTGACCCAGACACAACCGGTGACTGACCCCAGAGGTCCTGCACAAGAACTAGCGCGCTTCAGTCGAAGCCATCGAGATGGCAGCTATCAGTGTCTCACTCATCTCCAGTCACTTGGAAGAAACTTTCTCCTCCAGAAAGACAGCAGATATTTATGAGCAAGGTCTTCAACCTCTCCCTTGTCCTGCAGATACTCCAAAACACCATACACACCACCATACCACCACACATCCACAAGTATCCCTGAATCCTGCACATCCCGTCACAGTTTTAGGGTCATTTGGTACTAAAGAGAAGTGCAGAGGCACCGGCTTCCCGGTGCAGCCACACAGGTGACCTGGGCTGCTTCGTGGGCACCACGGGATGTGGGGCTCCCAGCTGAGCTCCCAGCCCCACCGCAGGAGATGGGGACAGAGATTGGGGCCAGCAAGGGAGCAAAGTGATCGTAGCAGCACAGGTGACAGATTTCACTGTTCGGAGGTAGGACCCATGTCATTTTTCCTTATTCAGTTAAGGCAGAGCAGTTTGAAGCAGTTGCCTGCTCACCTGGTGAAGGATCAGCATCTTGCTCCTTGCCTGCACCCAGCTCAGTGAGCTGGAGTCCACATTTCCAAAGGGGGAGGATTGGCGGGTGAACACCAGGAGGCCCGTGGGTACCCCACGCAGGACGGGTCTCAGAGGGCTCCTCTCCGTTAAGGAGCTGAGATACCTGCAGAGGCAGTTGCTGCCCTTGGGAAATGGGGAGGAAGAGCTCTTACCCCTCACCCCAACCCTTTTAGATCATTTGGGGGGGGGGAGAAATTAAAAAAAAAAAGGAAAGAGAGACCTAGACAAGCCATGAAACACTTTCCAGTTAGAAAGTTAAAATTTGACATCATTTGGCTCTCAAGAGCACCACAAGCTGTTATCTGCTCTCCAGCTCACAGCCCCTTCCTAGCAAAGATTACCCCGTCTAAAGTCCTCTTCCCCAAGTAACACTTTGATAAGAATCCCAAGAAAAATTCCATAGGCTACGAAACTCCTCGGCTGACGTGCTCAGTGCCAAGCAGGGCAGCTCCTGGCACCAACCCACCCTGGGTCCCCACGGTTGGGACGACACCCCTGCAGCTCCCCAGCATCGGCACCTGCCACCAAGCCAACCCACGTGAGTCTAATCCCAAGTTTACGAGCAGCGTTACAGAAAGCAATCAAAGCCTCCGCCCCTCCTGCACCACCACGGACATAACCTATGCACTCCCCGAGATAAGGCTGAAGGAAACCCATCAGCAGAGAGCAGCTCCGGGTCCCCACCCACCCCACGGCCCTGAACTAGCCACCGTCCCTGCATCCACAGCTTGTTCCTCCCTCTGTGCTCCTCTCCTCGGCTGGAAACCCCATTTCCCCTGGAAGCAGTCTGTCTGTTTCAAAAGCTGGGAAGAAAGTGGTGGGAAAGGGCAAAGCAACACCCCACAAAACAGATGCCAGCACAAGGAAGGGGCACCGGGTCTCGCCGAGCCCTGAGCACACAGGCTAAGAGCTTACAGCATTTGTTCCTAGCTGGGTGAATCCCATCCTTGGCAAGCATTTCTGTACCCCCACCAGCTCTTCCCCGCCCTCCCCATGACGGATCAGTCCATCTCACTGGGCATTAGCCCCAGCGCTTACGTCCCCATGCCAGCAAGCCCGTAGGAGCTGCAGAGCAAGCAGCAACAAAACCCTGAACTCGATGCCGTACGGAGGCGATGTTTAAGCCGCGAGGAATTTCCATCCCAGCTTAATGCAATTTCAGGGGACAGAATTCCAAACGCTTTACGAGATAATAGGATTTGAACCACTGGTTAGGGGAGGAGGAGAGCTGGAGACTGATTAAATCTCATTATCCCCAAAACAGCCTGGAACAAGAAAACAGACACAACGCTTGGAGCAAGGCAGGGGAAGCGCTCTGGAGTTTCTATGCTCGTGTTTGTAAGGTACCTCGGGGAAGTTTCCCCAGGCCCTTGTCCCAGGAAGCTTTCCCCTCTCCCCTCACGTTTTGGGACTGGGGATGATAGTCACTAAGCAGCTTTTCCCCACGGTCACGCATGTTCCCACCTTGCTTGCAGAACTCAAAGACCTGGAATGACCTGTTTCTCAGGGGAGAGGGCAGCTGTTTTGCAGAGGTTGGCTGATACAACCACCCCAGCTTCAACCGGTCTCCTGGAGGGCCACTTCTTGGGGCCTCTTTGGGGTGCTGGTTGACAGCCGGCTGAACATGAGCCGGCAGTGTGCCAAGGCGGCCAAGAAGGCCAATGGCATCCTGGCCTGTATCAGAAATAGTGCGGCCAGCAGGAGTAGGGAAGCGATCGTGCCCCTGTACTCGGCACTGGTGAGGCCGCACCTCGAATACTGTGTTCAGTTTTGGGCCCCTCACTACAAGAAGGACGTCGAGGTGCTGGAGCGTGTCCAGAGAAGGGCAACGAGGCTGGTGAGGGGTCTGGAGAACAAGTCTGATGAGGAGCGGCTGAGGGAACTGGGGTTGTTTAGCCTGGAGAAGAGGAGGCTGAGGGGAGACCTCATCGCTCTCTACAACCACCTGAAAGGAGGTTGTAGCGAGGTGGGGGTCGGTCTCTTCTCCCAAGGAACAAGCAATAGGACGAGAGGAAATGGCCTCAAGTTGCGCCAGGGGAGGTTTAGATTGGATGTAAGGAAAAATTTCTTCACTGAAAGAGTGGTTAAACATTGGAACAGGCTGCCCAGGGAAGTGGTGGAGTCCCCATCCCTGGAGGTATTTAAAAGACGTGTAGATGAGGCACTTAGGGACATGGTTTAGTGGACATGGTGGTGTTGGGTCGATGGTTGGACTCGATGATCTTAGAGGTCTTTTCCAACCTCAATGATTCTATGATTCTTTGCCTGCTGAGCAAGGCAGGTAGGTGCTCTGCCAGCTCAGAGGACACCAACAGACCAAAGGGACCGAGCTGGGGCTGGCTCCAGCACCAGGCTGCCTGCCACCCTAAGGGACAGCACTCCCGGGCAGCCAGGACAAGGCCGCCTGCCAGAATACCAATGACCTGCCAGGCATCTTCAGCTACAAAACTCAAAAACGTCCACCACACCCAGCCTCCCCGCAACCGCTTTTCGTTATTTGGTTTCCTTCCTACAGACATTCTACCTCTTTACCTTTCTGCGCTAGTGAGAAGGGGTTCCCGACCTGCACAGCATGCGAGCTCTCCGCTCCGTAGGGGACAGCAGGCCAGCAGCACTGCTGGGCACGCTGGCAGCAGGCAAAGGAGGAGGGACAGGCAAGGACAGGCAACACGGGCACACTCACCACCTCCTCGGGGCGCAGGGCCTCTGCGTGGTCAGAGCTGGAAGTAAAGCAAGCTGCGGAGATGCTTCACTTGCAGCTCACTCCTCTGGCTGCTCACCCTCCAGCCCACGCCACGGGAAGAAAGCTGGTCATGCCACGCTGGTGATGGAGGCAGCAGCCTGTCCTTGAAGGAAGCCCTCAGCCAGGCTCCTCGTTCCTGCGTCAGCCCTTCAGGGCCAACGTTTTTGGAGACTGACATTCCCAGAGGAATACAGGCTCGGGATATCTGTCTCGATCTGCCTGTTCATACACGCTTGTGACTTGGAGCAAAGCTGAGGAAGGGGCCCGACCGCCCCCGAGAGCACCAGCCTGAGGCATGGGGCTCGTACTCGCCCAAAACTCGTCTCATAGTCAGTTGCTGCGGCTGCTCTGATGAAACACTCTCGAGGCTATAAACACAGTGGTGTTTTAGCTCACCACGCACGGCACTGGCTCTGTCATTCACCCACCTCATCCTCACTGCAAATTAGCATCACCTTTTCCATTTTAGATCTCAACGCACTGGTCTAGTGACTCATGCATGTGACTATTATCCTTCTCCAAGTCATTTTTCTATCACAGCAGATGACTACCACTAGCTAGGGCTCTTGATTTCTCCTTCATTTTCAGGGAGAGAAGGTCAAACAAAAAGCGTGAGTGCACGGAAGGAATTTTGTACGCCCCAGAGCCTTCTTCTCAAAGCAGACAGGCATTTGTAAGGTGCCCTGCTCTAAAATAGCACCGTGCACACAGACACCGCTTCTCCTTACGATTGCAGGAAGGAGGGAACCCAGCCCAGACAGTCCCCTCGGGATTTGGTTTTAAACTTCTTAAGAAAAGAGCAGAGCCAACTTTGCAG